AAGATCAAGAATACATTTACTGTTATCTCGCACACGAGTGTAATCACTAACTAGTTGCGTTAAATCAAAACGGAAGGCAATGTAAATAAGCGCTTCATCGTTAATGGGATCAGAACTTCCTGCGTTAAACGAAGACCAGTTGATGCCTGGAAGGTTGAAGTCTCCAAATAAAATAAGCTTGGTAGTTTGATTTGTTTTAGACGAAATATACAGCTGTAATTGTTCTAAAACCTCAGGGATTGAGGCAGGGGGCCTATACACAACTTCAATAACAAGGCTTTCTTTTCTATCGATAAGCTTACAAAATAAAGCCTCAACGCCAGGGACATCAGGCATGCGTGCTATCCTGTAAATATTTTTAACCAGCAACGCAACTCCGCCCCCTCTGGAACCACGATCCCTTCTGTACACGTTGAACCCCGAAGGCGCAATTTCGCTGTCATAGACACCGTCATGAAGTCATGTTTCTGTGAGTGCGACTACGTCGGGGTCATGAAGTGCTATCAGGTGTTCAAGATCGAGCTCTTTGTTCAGAATGCTATGGCAATTCACATTTAACAGTTTCAATGAACGCGGGCTTTCCTGTCACTTCGGCAGGTACCTGGGAAGGGCAACCATATCATTCTTGGCCTCGTCCCAAACGAACAGCTTTCCATTCACAGACACCTTATCGAAGAGTAGTTTAACACGTTCATTTCGTTCCCTGTTTAAAACTGTGCTGTCCCGTAGATTCCTCCTGGCCTGACGCACCTTTTGTGAAAAGTCCTCAGTTACATATAAGCCAGAGTCTTTAAGTCACACAGTTCCTCAAAATTTCCAGTTTTTCGCGATAATCTATTAATTTGACGATTACAGGTCTTGTTTTATTAGGCCGCTTTGAGCCAAGGCGATGGCATCTTTCGATTCCGGTCACTGTTAAGTCTAACTTGCCCTTAAAGAAGTCATCAGTTATGCGTGAAGTAAGCGATGGCAGTGTTTCATCTTGAGGTTCAGAGACACCATGAATGATAATGTTGTTCTTCCGACTTCGATTTTCAAGGTCATCTACTTTTTCTGCTATAGAAGTAATGGCGCTTTTCATCGTGCTTATGTGCAACTCAACAGCAGCAACCTTGGTTTGGAATACTGATAGATTTTCTAAACCGCATTCCAATTATTTTAGTCGATCTTTCAATTGAGCTAATGTGTTTATTATGTCTTTCTGTGAACTGTCAAATTTGTCCATTCGCTTCATCAACTCTTTTTGGCCCGCGAGTACCTCGAGAAGTAGGCTGCGGTCACTTAAGTTTTCTGATGATGATTCTTTGCCACGCACAGACTCACTAGATCCCTTGGGTCCAGGATTCGACTCAACGTCACCACAGAGGGATAATAAATCCAGCAAGTGCAGGCAAATCACAACAATACGCTCTAGACATTGTGGGCAAGGTAGCAGCACGAGAAAAACATTACTTTTAAGTGATTTATCTCCAGGTAAATAACTAACCTGTATAAGAAACAGAAAAGGCTTGTAGCGCATAGTTGCAGACGCGCTGCCACCTTGCCCACTGGAGCTGCAGGACCGAGCCGGCGAATTTATAAGGTTCTCCGTCGATGACGCTCCCCGGAAGGTGACGTGGAAGTCAGCAGGTAGGATGGGCGGTTCCAGTGAAGGTGGCTACGTAAAACAGCAGGAATTTTCGTTCATCTTTACGGCGCTGTCCATGCGATGATTACCATGGCTGAGGTCAAAAGATGAGCAGATATGGTCCTCCGTTGACGCATGCGTGATCCAACCAAGGGTCAGGATTTGTATAAGAAACAGAAAAGGCTTGTAGCGCATAGTTGCAGACGCGCTGCCACCTTGCCCACTGGAGCTGCAGGACCAAGCCGGCGAATTTATAAGGTTTTCCGTCGATGATGCTCCCCGGAAGGTGACGTGAAAGTCAGCAGGTAGGATGGGCGGTTCCAGTGAAGGTTGCTCCGTAAAACAGCAGGAATTTTCGTTCATCTTTACGGCGCTGTTCATGCGATGATTACTATGGCTGAGGTCAAAATATGAGCAGATATGGTCCTCCGTTGACGCATGCGTGATCCAACCAACGGTCAGGATCTGTATAAGAAACAGAAAAGGCTTGTAGCGCATAGTTGCAGACGCGCTGCCACCTTGCCCACTGGAGCTGCAGGACCAAGCCGGCGAATTTATAAGGTTTTCCGTCGATGACGCTCCCCGGAAGGTGACGTGGAAGTCAGCAGGTAGGATGGGCGGTTCCAGTGAAGGTGGCTCCGTAAAACAGCAGAAATTTTCGTTCATCTTTACGGCGCTGTCCTTGCGATGATTACCATGGCTGAGGTCAAAAGATGAGCAGATATGGTCCTCCGTTGACGCATGCGTGATCCAACCATTGATTGATATGTGGGGTTTAACGTCCCAAAACCCCTATATGATTATGAGAGACGCCGTAGTGGAGGGCTCCGGAAATTTCGACCAACTTGGGGTTCTTTTACGTGCACCCAAATCTGAGCACACGGGCCTACAACATTTCCGCCTCCATCGGAAATGCAGCCGCCGCAGCCGGGATTTGAACCCGCGCCCTGCGGGTCAGCAGCCGAGTACCTTAGCCACTAGACCACCACGGCGGGGCTGCGTGATCCAACCAACGGTCAGGATCTGTATAAGAAACAGAAAAGACTTGTAGCGCATAGTTGCAGACGCGCTGCCACCTTGCCCACTCTTTGAACAGAATTGAACTTGCAGCTGCCCGCTTGATCCTCTATTTCTGTTGCAGCGTATGATGCGGGTGATAGAGATAAAGTGAAAGACAGCGCAAAGCTCGCGGTATTGTTGCTGTAGCTTCGAAAGATGTTTCTGCAGCTGCATGGTCTTTCAGTAGGCGGAACAAAGTTATGACAAAATGTACATTGGTAAACGTGCGATAGTAATTTATATGTCGCCTCGTAGCTGCCTAAGTGAGTGCCTCTATGGCAGGCTTTTTTTTTATTCCTGTATAAATTTAAATAAAAACATTACAGCCATGCCTAATATTGGGCATTAGGATGCCAACGTTAGACACAGTGTTGGTCCGATACTTCATTTAAGATGTGCTGTGTTCTTGCAGTCAGTATGAACGCTGACATAAGTATTCGCCTTGCATTGCATTTGATGGCAAAACTCAGGTTGTCTAAACGAGGATGCCTGGGTAAAACAACGTTTCGAGCTCCTTGAGCAGTTGCTGTAAAATAAGGGAATAGAACGATAGATAAGGGAAAGACAGGGAGGATAACCGGTCCATTATTGCCTGCATGCTTACCTTACGCGGCGGGAAGGGATGGCGGAGTGTGAGATTTAAGGGTGTAAGAAAAAGATAGTGAGACAGAGAGCACATACACAACGTCTCACTCAACTCCTTCTGCGCGGTATGAAACATTTCTCTTCAGACACGATGTTATTAATCTACCTGTAAAATAAGATGCCACTGCACTGTAATGACTGCGAAATTGTGGCATAATGCTGCTACATTTTCTCCGCTAACTTTCCCTCAACCTGTTGCTGCTATTTGTATCGGCACTATGATGAATACGCCTCGTCCTATTCAACTCTGTTTTCAAAGCAATGACGTCTCCAACTGCGCATAAAGTTTTACGGTGGTTACGAGGTAACATTTCTAGGCTACATGCAACAGGTTCAGCTACTCTATTTCGCCTGAGTGACGTCACAAAGATGACGTGTTCGAATAGCTAGTCAGTTTTGTATTCAAGTGCTTTCTTTTCTCGCGGAGCTTCCTGTACAGGCTGCTTTCCGGAAAGTACGGGGAGTCATCGCCACCACAAGCATTGTTCACTGCATTTATAAACACTTGCAAAACGTCTGCGCTGCGAATTTTCATTTGCAAACGTCATGGCATTGGGAGTGAATTCAGTGTTTTTTTAATACGCCAGTAGAATACGAAGCCACATGTGTGAAAACGTTTAACAACAAATAAAGAAGTCTCAAATTGGCCGCTCGGTCATAGCTTTGCTTGAGAAAAATAAGTCAGCCAGGTGTTCGACGTTAGTTATGTACACGTGTCGTAAGGAAAATAAAAGGTCTGACGAACTCTGTCAAAAGGCGCCATGAAGGGGGAATTATGACCTATCAAGTGTACAAGTAGTGCAGAGGTATGTGTAGAGTTTTAAAAGCGTGACCACAACGTATCGCCAAGCGAATTCATTCCAACAGAAATAAGGTCAAAGCTGAACTAGTTAACACTCACAAAACTTCGTATCAATAGTTTGCGCTTAGTTGATCTGAAAGACCGATAGGTACAGTGACTGTCGAAATTTCGCGGACCAGAGGAGCGCGTGTCAAACAACACTGCTGTGCCTTCTGACTGCTGCCTGCGAAACTCAAAAGCACACTGTGCACGCACGCCATTTTTTACCTACCAGCCTGCTCGTTTGCTCCCTTCAACAGCGCGCGCACCAGAACGTTAGAAGAAGCGCAAGGTGTCACTCTGGCAGTCACCGTGCTAACCTTATCACAAAGGTCTATTTTCGAAAAACGGACGCCGTATCCACGTTTTCGACAAAGCGGAGCGTTTGGGACTTAGGCGCATAATGCGGCGCACACCGAGCACTGCCGATACAAATTACGTGCTTTCGTCGCGACATTATGGCTTGATGTTTGCGCAGCCACAGCAGGAGTGACACCTAGCACTTCTGGCGTTCCCGTGTCCACGCGCCCTTGAAGAGAACGAACGAGCGGGTTGGCAGGTGAACAAGGACGCGCGTGCGCGCTCTCGAACTTTGCAGGCAGCCGTCAGAAGGCGCCTTGGTGCTGTTTCACACGCGTCCCTGTGGTCCGTAATATTTTGACCGCTACTGTACATATGGCCGCTTAGTTCAGCATTAACGGGGGTTAAACAAGTGTATAAAAAAGAGATGTTATTGCCTGAAAGCGTACTGCGTTCTACAAGATCTCCCTCTCAGACACACACATGCACGCACATCAGCTGATATAGCGTAGTAAAGAGTTCGCTCACATCAGGCCACGCTGGTAGGGCTTGGGTGGTCTGCTGTCCTTGATCTGACATCCGCGTACCACTGTATGGAAGCCGTACCGGTGAAGCAACGTGGCCGCCATGTGACGCAGCTCGGCGCCCGAACACGTGGACGGGATGCATATGCCCATTTGAATGCCAAAGAATAGGTCCTGCTTTAGCCAGTTCATCGGGTTTCTCGCACCCTGCATAAGTGGAATACGAACTTACTTGACGGCTCAACGGGCGTCTGCTATGTGCTGCCGTCATTCTTGAGTTTCATGGTGGAAAACTAAAACTATTAGAGCACGTAAGAATGTCATACACACGTTGTTCTGTGCGTCAACAAGGCTCTGTATAAAATTCAAGCATGCAAGACAGATGCCCAGTTAACTGCGTTGAAACTATTCGCAAGTCATCATCACTGAAGTAAGCAATGTACAAAATCTCGATACAGTGTAAATTAGAGTATGCATTCGTCATATACAGGATAAAGCGCACGCCTTTCTGATTCAAAATCTGTAAGCCATTCAGAATCGCGCAGCATATTTTGTCTTACCAATTTATTCACATCATTCAAGTTTCACGTCCTTGAAGAGCTTCCCGAACTTGTCTGACCTCTCGTTGTGTCTAAAATCATCTCGCTTTATTTTTTACACGAAATATATAATGGATATTCGAAGAACGCCATGTTTAATTTACCTTGTTGCACATCACCGAGGATGAATCATCGCACTAAATCATCTTGTCATACCAGATTGTGGAATGACTCGTTGGTTCCTAGGACAAGCGCCGCTGGGAACCACCTTCTCGCCTCCGTAGGCAGCATAACACGAATGAATTAGGTTTCAATATCGCCATACAAGGTGCCATGTAGCTTTTTCTTTTTTTGTTTCCACAACCGACAATTTTTTTTCCCCAATCCGGTCTGTAGTTCCTTCGGGCTTTGAAGCTACCTAAATGAATAAATAAACCTTTTGTATAAGGAACACACAATAACTTTGCAGAACAGATCCTCGCGCTTGGGCATGAAACCTCATTAAAAGATTTCTGAAAGTCATTTATTTATCTTATGTGCTTGAGAAAGCAAAATTCAAGGTATACAGCAACGTATTATCTAAACCGGAGTGCACGGCATGGCCTAACAACCCATTCTTTGCGCCTGGGATTTGTATTGCCGATTTTTTTGGTAATTGCGTAAGCTCCATAACGAACAAGCATCCGTCCCAATTACAGGCCTAGATTAAACAATCACTCATAATGAATAAATACAAAAAGTCTAATTTTTCCTGTGAAAAAGCTGTCCGTACGTACCAAATCACTCTGACTGTTCAACATTAGTTACAAGAGGGACAACGCGTTTGTTCAGCGATTTAGAACAAAGACGTGTACGCTGTTCTGGCATATAGGCGTACCATCATCTCTCCCTGCTCCTGGAACTTGGCGATCACCTTCCGCAAGAAAGGAACTCCTTTGGGGTTCACGAACAAGCTGCAGTACTGGCCCACGAAGTCGACATCACCGTAAAAGTCACGCACAACCACGTCCAGGCACTCGTCGTAGTTTCCGAGGTCGGCCACGCTCCCTTGCAGCATACCGGGCGGAGGCTTCCCGTTTGAATCGGCCACTGCGCATAGCATTCACGAAGAATGAAACAAAATTTTGTTGACTCCCTGTATATCGGCACGGGATCTCGCGGTGGCATTATTGTATGTCGCTTCCACGCTGGCTGACAAAAAGAAATGGCGTGCGTTGTTCTGCACGGTTGGCGGTAAAGAACACCAGGTGGACTGAGTGATTGGGAGATGAGAGCAAATTTATTAGAAAGCAGGTACATTGGCCTGAGCTTGTGCACGCTAGCCTGCTATTCTGCACAAGGGAAAAATGAAAGGGAGAATAGCGACGAAGATGACGATGAGGACCGGAAAAGTTTGATGCGTATGCACAATAACCATTCGTATAGCGTTGTTGTTAGTCTAATGTGAAATACAGTACTCTTGAGAAAATCTGTTAACATCTTTGTAGCAGCCGGTCATGCACACAGCGGGCGATGTACGTAATATGTTAGTTGCACTTGCTCACACCCATGGCGGCCAGCGTTGACGCCAGCGTCTTCCTTTCACGTTCAAAGGGCAGTCGCACAATACATGTGCTGGGACGCTATGCAGGATCGGCCGAGTTTCGCCTGAGTTCCACGAAACTCAGAATATTGCCGAGCTCTGCCGAAACATCCTTATAATCGAGCCAACAGAACAAAATAGTCATATCCACACCCCCCCCCCCCCCAGAACACGCTGCGTTTCATTGGTTATGAGGGACCTAGTCGTAGCGTCAAGGATGGTCGACTAAGTTGGACGCTGTTTTCAAACCAGAGGCATCTTCATTCATGTTTGTAGTTCCACTGAGTGCAAAAGTGCACCCATGCAATAAAAGTGTCATAAACTTTTCGTGATGATTTTTTGAGAAACACGGGGTGCTTAATTTATTGAAATTATTTAAATAATTTATTTTGGAACTTTTAATGCCTGCAATAAGCCTGTTTTTGAATAATCAGCATGGTGGCCTCTCGGATCAGTACCGGCCGAGCGTCTTACAACGTCGCGACCACAGCTAAACCCGCCCGAGGCCACATGTTAATCATCATGGTCAGCCTGTACATTCTAGTGCGCTGCTTGGCCGGTGCGTGCTGGCTTTTGTTGTCATCGTCTGCTAGACCCCGGGCACCGGCAGCCGGCCAATTAGCTATTAGGGGCGAATCTCCTAAAGCCGTGGGTCTCTCCCTCCTAGCTCGCGGTACGTGACTGCCTAATTCGATGGCTTACTCAGCAGGTGCGAACGGACGGATGGAGGAACGATTCACGCTTTACTGTTAAAACTCTCCGAAGCTTCACCCCCCTCATCGTCATTCACTCCGTGGATAAGCTGTGAATATTTTGGCTGAATGGTATTCTTGGCTAGTTAGGCCAGGAAATGCTATGACCAAACTAATTTCGCCAATTATAGTTAAGGCAAAGGTAATCATGCCACATCTTAAGAAGGCCATGCTGATGAAGCACCGCCTAAAGACAGCTAGAACCGCGCTAATTAAAGCACGCTAGTTCATGAGCTACTTAAACTATGCTAATTAACGCGATTATGGTTATAAGCACGCTAAGTAAAACCATTCTAATTAGTCCTTACTATTATAATGACAATTAGTATCCTGCTAATCAGGAATACGGTTAAAAGCTATATACTGATGAAGACCTTGTTAATTGCGTCCGAGATAATTGCCTTTTATTGAAGCCTAATTAATGAAGACAAGGCAGCTCAGTGTAATGGTCGTTAAGCCTCAGCCAATTAGTACAAAAAATTAGGACAGAAATGATGTCCTCAAATGGAAGCCGACCACGTACATGAGTAGACAGAGATGATGTCCTCAAACGGAAGCCGACCTCGTACATAAGTAGACGACCAACTAAAAAAGCTGCAAGAAGCTATAAGTTATCACAGGCTCCTCCATGGCTCCAGCCTTGCACAGATATTGTAAGCTCACCAAATTACTTTACATGCAAAGAATTTGCCACTTAGCGTTCACCACATCAAATGCTTGACAGTCACACTGGCACCATCACAGTCAGGAGTTGAACTGACCTTTCTCAGAAATAACGAGTTTCCATCAGGGTTCGGGCGTCAATAAGTTTGATTGACAGATGCCCGCTGCGAAGATTAGGTACGTCCACCCCGTTTGCTCTTGCCGAGGAGCAGTACTCACGTCTACCGGCAAGATGAATCCATCAGCTTTATCCCACAGATTATAAACACACGCACGAAGAAGTAAAAGTGATACCACCATGTGGTCGCGATGTCTCGCATTCAATTTCATCGCGCTCACAACGCATCCAATAACAGCCGCGTTGCAGCCACGATGTAGGCACCCCTGGTGACCAGCTGTCCTTATATTTATCTACAATATTTGATAGACGCGAAACGAGCAGCACGAGAGTGGTACATGTGTATCCTTGCTGTCTTCAAGAGTAAAAATTTTCACGCTGCAGGTGGAACGAAAGAAACACCCATGAACACGCCAGTGGGAGGTGTGTGTTGAGTTGGCAAAAACATAGTACGCTAATCACGCTGACGCCGCTGCACTGTTAAAATGTTGAATGATCCCCGTATTCTAAAACGTCCCTTCACTCAACGCTTCACCTTCACTTGAGAAAGCCGATGCGAGCGCCATCTCTAAAAACGGCAAGTCACTGCTTATCAGGGATAATCTGCTGCGATTCTTCAGTAGCACAGCGTCATTTTCAGCTGAGCAGAGGCGCACTGCCCAACTCTGTCAAGTGAAGAATGAAAGTCGAGTCGAGGAGCGTTTGTCAATATGGGGTGTTGGCGCCTCTGACGTGTTCGCATACGCTGATTCTTTGATAACCGCCGCAAATGTGCCACATGCGTTTCCAACTCTACGCACGTTCTTGTATCCCCGTACTCATAAACGCTCCTTGACTTGGAATCACCCTCAATGCAACGCGTTTGAAACGCGTCAGTGCGTTTGTGCTACCTCGGCACCGTCTAAAGACAGCGCGTTCGAAACACGTTTGTGCTGCATTGAAATTCTTGGCAAGTGCAGTTCAAGTCAAGCAGCGTTTCCGGATACGAGGGTAAGCGAACTTCAGAAACTTTGAGCGTATCTATCTATCTATCTATCTATCTATCTATCTATCTATCTATCTATCTATCTATCTATCTATCTATCTATCTATCTATCTATCTATCTATCTATCTATCTATCTATCTATCTATCTATCTATCTATCTATCTATCTATCTATCTATCTATCTATCTATCTATCTATCTATCTATCTATCTATCTATCTATCTATCTATCTATCTATCTATCTATCTGTCTTCTTCAAGGCAGCACCTGCCTACCTGATAACGCGTCTGTGCAGTCTCCACAACAAAAAAAGTGGAGTGAGTGAGGGCAGCTGCGAAAACAGGAATGTTTACTTTGTCACAAGCAGTACAGTGGCTGAAACAGGATAGCCTATTTATATATTATATTACATCTGCATCGCGCCCACATGGTGAAGGAGCTACCCCAGACAGTGGCACAGTATCGATGATCTCAAACTTTACGTGCTCCGGTCAAACATCCGTTCACCTAGGCACAACAATGCCTTATTCGGAAGATCCTTGTTCAGAGTTTTCTTATTCAGAATATCTTATTGAAAGTGATACCTTATTGAGAAATTTAATACATGTGCACGTCAGAAAATAAGTATAAACGTTTAGAATATAACTCTTGAATGAATCCGCTGAGGTCGGTAACACGAGGAAAACAGGTGAGATTTAACCCTTGCACTAGTCATTTATAACTGTTTGGAATCACCGTGAAGTAGTCATTTTTAGTCACGCTCACTATTGTCCTCATCAATAAGCGGAATGAGCGCCACCTTCTATCCTCTTGATAAAAAAAGACACAAAGCGTGTTTTGTCTCCTTCTGTTTTCTTTTTCTATCGATGTGTTTCGGCTTTACTCACCCAATTCGGCACTCTAGCTTACCTCAATACCCACTCCTGTCTTTCTTTCTCTCATGAGTAAACATCGCGAGATACAGTGAGCAATTCTCGGGTTAATCAATTAACAACACGTGAACTCAATAGCCAATCAAAATACATTGTTTTGTGAATTCTTCTTCAGACCCCCCGAACTAAATACACTCCGATATTAGCAGTCATTATATTACTCAAACAATATATTCATAATCATCATCATCATCATCAACATCATCATCAGCCTGACTACGTCCACTGCAGGACAAAGGCCTCTCCCATGTTCCGCCAGTTAACCCGGTCCTGTGCTTGCTGCCGCCAATTTATACCCGCAAACTTCTTAATCTCATCTGCCCACCTAACCTTCTGTCTCCCCCTAACCGCTTCCCTTCTCTGGGAATCCAGTTAGTTACCCTTAATTAGCAGCGGTTATCCTGTCTACGCGCTACATGCCCGGCCCATGTCCATTTTCTCTTCTTTATTTCAACTATGATATCCTTAACCCCCGTTTGTCCCCTAATCCACTCTGCTCTCTTCTTGTCTCTTAAGGTTACACCTACCATTTTTCTTTCCATTGCTCACTGCGTCGTCCTCAATTTAAGCTGAACCCTCTTTGTAAGTCTCTAGGTTTCTGCTCCGTAGCTAAGTACCGGCAAGATACAGCTGTTATATACCTTCCTCTTGAGGGATAGTGGCAATCTACCTGTCATAATTTGAGAGTGCTTGCCAAATGATCTCCACCCCATTCTTATTCTTCTAGTTACTTCAATCTCGTGGTTAGGCTCTGCGGTTATTACCTGCCCTAAGTAGACATAGTCAAACAATATATTACCAGTTAGTAATTTATGATCCTCCCCTTGCGGCAATTTCTACCTCCTTTTCCCAAACCCAACAATGTGGCAAACAAAAGAAGCTAGTGATTGAGCTTGCCGGCGTTCGCCTGTCTTTCTCGCACTGTTTTCTTGCTTTTAAATGCATGCCACAAGCTTCTCCCCATGCAGCGTCATCAACTCGCGACACCAGACGATCCGATGAACGGAATGCTGTTATCTTTCATCTGGTTCATAGATTGTGCCTTCTTTCGCAGGG